TTCCCATTTTAATATACTCTCAAAGGTCATATCTCTACCAGCCCTATTACTACATTTCTCTCCTCCTTAATAATCAAATTAGTTGACTGTCTAGACTTACTGTCCCCTCCTTGAACCTGACTTCTGTGAGCATTACTCCGTGAGAAGCTCTCACTTAAACCAGTGGCTTTGGTGGTGATAAAGTCAATGATTATTTCTCAACCTCATCACATCTGAGATTCTCACTTTTTCATCCTTTTTAAAAATAAAATTTCTTTTTTAATCACAATAATACTCTCATTTATTTACAAAATCAAATAGCACTCTCTTTTTCTTCTCACTCTTCCACATAGCCTATTTTTGCCTCCCCAGAGGAACCACTTTTTATTCTCAGGTGATGACACTGACATTTGTCTCCATATTCAAAATGCTTCTTGGCTTTCTCTTCTCTCTCTCTCTGTAACTAAGGTACAACACATATAATAAAGTATACAAAATGGAAGCTTACAGCTCAATGAAATTTTACACTTGTTAATATCTACATGCATAGTGTATGTTATCTCTGGCTTTCTTCACTCAGAATAATATCTTTGCAATTCACTGGTGTCACTTTGTGTATGTCTTGTTTGTTCTTTTTTTAATTGATGCGTAGAGTTCCTCTATATGAATATCTAACAATTTAATTATCCATCCTCCCAGAAGTAGATATTTGGGTTGTTTGGATTGATTAATGTTTTGTGCTGTTGTGTAAAAATCCATGTGTGAGGGGAAAAAAACAGATTTTTTTTTCCTTCTTGTGTAGGGAAAAACCCAGTTCTGCCCTGTTATGTCCTTCTTTCCTATGAGTCTCCTTTACTACTCACACAAAACATTTCTGGTCAACAAATGTGTTTTTTTCCCACACTAAGCAATTCTCTGCAATCCCACCTGAGTATTCTATCATTCTAGTCAGTTCTGACATTTTCTACCTGAAAAAGGCATGCCAGTCACAAGCCCAAGTGATCAACTGTGCTTCTGAACAAAAGACTGTAGATAGAAGAGTCCCAAAACAAGATGAAACAAAACACAATCCTGGGCTCAATTAATTCTCTAGAGTGACTCACAGAACTAGGAGAAATATTTCACTTACTTTTATCTGTTTATTATAAAAGGCTATGATAAAGGATACAGATGAATATCCAGACGGAAGGGAAGTGTAGGGTCAGGTTTGTGAGAGGAACTGTAGAGCTTCCATGTCCTCTCCAGGGACCACTCGCCTAGCACCTCTGTGTGTTCACCAACGGAAAGCTCTTCAGTAGGTCTGGGGTCTGGGCAGTGGTCCTACGAGATGACTCCCCAGCTCACTTGTCGTTCTGCATATTCATTTTAACTGCACCCCACAAATGATATAGCAAGTCCTAATTAGCTGACTAAGATCACCTATAAAATGTTGAATAGAATTCTTCTTATTCCCAAACTCAGAGGTAAAGCATTCAATATTTCACTGTGCCTATTAATTATAGTGTTTTTGATAAATATTCTTTATTTATTTAAATTGATTTTTAAATGTGAAACCAACTTTCATTTCTAAAGTTAAGTGCCCTTAGGAATGTTGTTTTGTCCTTTTTACATAATGAAACATTGATTTGCTATTATTTTATTGAGCACTTCCCCCCATTTTCCTGAATGATACTAGTATTCAACTTTTTCTTTTCTATGTTAATGTCAGATTTTGGTCAAGATTGTAATGGTTCATTAGGTAACTTGCAATTCATGGCTTCTTTTCTACCTGTGGAAGAATTTGTGTAGCGTTTTTAATGATTTAGAAACAATTTTCAGAAAGTTCACTATAGTGAAGCCATGTAAGCATAGCCTTATGGGAGAAACTTAATAATCCTGAAATTATGGATTCAGTTAGTTTAACAGATAAAGGGCTCTTTATATATTTATTTTTCTCTTATGATGGTTGACAAATTGTGTTTTTTTCTGCCCATGTTTTATTATTTGCTACCTTTACTTTCTTTTAACTTGCTATTTTTTCCAGTTCTTTGAGTTGCAACTTTGCCTATTAATCTCAACATTTCTTTTTTCCTGACAAATATAAATTCATAAATTTGTCTCTAATTACAAATATTCCTTGACTTACAATGGTGTTATGTGCCAAAAAACTTATCATAAGCTGATAATATCTTTAGCCAAAAGTTCATTTAATATACTTGAACTCTGAACATCATAGCTCATCCTAGCCTACCTTAAACATGTTCAGAACACTTATATTGTTGGGCAAATTATCTAATACAAAGCCTCTTATAATTTGATGCTGACTACCACATAATTTATTTGGCACTGCACTGAAAATGAAAAACTGAGTGGTTGTCTAGGTTCAGAAGAGCTGTGTGTTGGTTGTTTACCTTTGCAGTCGAGTAACTGACTAGGAGCTGCAACTTGCTGCTGATGTTCAGCATTAAAGGACAACATCATGCTAGCCCATGAACAAAATTCAAAATTAGAAGTGCAGTTTCTACTGAATCCGTATTATTTTTGTACCTTCGAAAAGTTGGAAAACAATAACTCAGGGACTTTCTGTACTACTTTTTCTGCATCTTACATGTTTTGATATGTCATATATTCATTACTATTCAACTAAAATAATTCCATTTGACGTGGGACCTAAGAAAGGCCAAATCCTGCCCTGCTCACCACAGGGAAGATTCCTGAAGATACTGTATATATTAGCTTAAGACAAACAGAAGGTGAAGAAGGACTTTTGGCTGATCCCTGGACCTAATTACCTCCTACCTAGGTAGTTTGAGGAAAAGTAAGTTTGAGGAAAGGTAAGTTTGAGGTTCATGCCTAAGTAGAGTTTCCTACTTCCTTCTGAATCCAGAATAGCAAGCTCAGAATTCCTACAAGGATGAGGTGGAAAGACAGGACACACCTCAAATTGGCCAAGAGTTGATTTACTTTTCAGGCATCTGGGCTGAAATAGAAAGAAGAGGCAGCCCATCCCAGGGCACTAAATTAGCCCTCTATAAAAATGCATTTATCACAGGTAGGCAAAGACTTCAAAATGCAGGAGCTGCAAGCAGAAGAAGTGGGCTCTGGGTCCTGTGTTTAAGTTAGACTGAGAGCTGACCTCCCGGGCTTCTCCAGTGGCTCAGATGGCACAGAGTCCGCCTGCAGTGCAGGAGACGTGAGCTCAACCCCTGGGCCAAGAGGATCCCCTGGAGAGGGGACTGGCTGCTCACTCTAGTATGCTTGCTTGCAGAATTCCATGGACAGAGGAACCTTGCAGGATATCATCCATGGGATCACAAAGAGTTGCACATGAATGAGAGACTTGCATTTTCACTTTTTTTCAATCTCCTACTCATAAATGGACTCTGAATGACAGAATCAGCCCTCCTCACTCCTCCTTTGTGGGTAGAAGAAGAGGGGGGTTTACAAAGAAGGGAAGAAGAAGTGGAAGCTTCCTGATTCAAGGAGAGGTATTCTTATCCATACCTCCTGGTTTTGTTCAGTTTTGATCTTTTGGGTTTTTAGATTTATAGTCTGCCCAATGTCTTCAGTGGAATAGATCCAAGAATTATCATGAGATTCTTGTTTCTACCTGCTGTCTTTTTGTCATTCTCATCTTCAACATCAGAGTCTTTATTAGCATCTATTGAACCACTACCATATGCCAGGTCCATTGCTCAGCACTTTAGATACTCCTTCTGTAATCTAAAACCCACAAAGTAATATTAATCTATCCTCAGGTAAGGAAACTGAGCCTTAAACATGTTTAAAAATGAAGGGATTTCTGACATAAATGCTGCAGGTAACATAAAATGAGAATTAAAAAAATAAAAACTCCAGAGTTAAATAGTTCAAAATTTTTTCTGCTATACAGCAGAAAGTAACATAACATTGTAAATCAGCTATACTCCAACAAGAATTAATTTAAAATGTAAATAACCAGTTTGAATAAGTCCAAAAAGTCTTTGCAAGTCAGAAATAAGTCTACTTACTCTTTTGACAACTGTATAGTATAATACAGATCTATCATAACATATTGAGTATTTGTATTGAAGGATATGTAAATATCCTTGCTGCATACACTATGTAATTTTATAATGTATTTATAAGGCTATTTCTTAAAAAATTCTCAGACAAGTGGAATATCTGGCCAATGATATGAAAATAGCACCTAAGAATCTTATTTAGCTTATACTTCAGTTATAGGATGTGAAAGTGCCAATTTCCTGATATATCACAAGCACTGAATGTGAATATTATGATTCTTAACTCTTTTTGCAACCTGATGGCTGAGAAATGATAGAAAGAGATTTTCAAGAAAGTGTGAATTAAAGAAAACAATTCTTAAGAACTGAAGTGGCAAGAGGAGGGAGCAGTTACAGGAATGTGAAGAGGTTCAGCTGCAGCTGTGCAGTAAAACTTACGATTTCTTCTTTACTAATATAAGCATTTATGCTTACATTTCTCTCTAGGTACCTGTGTGTATGAGTTACTCAGTAGTGTCTGAGTCTTTGCCACCCCATGGACTGTAGCCCACCAGGCTCCTCAGTCCATGGAATTTTCCAGGCAAGGATACTGGAGTGGGTTGTCATTCCTATCTCCAGGGGCTCTTCCCCATCCAGGGATCGAACTTGTGTCTCCTGCATTGCAGGCAGATTCTTTACTGTTTGAGCCATCAGAGGAGCCCCTCTAGGTGCATACTTAGCCACATTCTGCAAATCTGATGTGTTAAAAATTGTTTTCCTTACGAGGAGGGAAAGAGATAAGCATTTCTCTGGCAACATTGGGCTTAGCCCTGAGATGATGGTGTTTCTATGGCAACCTGGCACTCCTGGCAGATGGACTTCTGGCGCGTCCTCCTCTGTGCCTCTGTGACTTGCTCTGATTGGCTGGGCTGACTCTGTGTTTCCTGTAGAAAGTTTTGAATACAAGAGGCAGCAAAGCAGGTCTTTTACCCTGCGAGTCCTTGAATATTTTATAGACACAAGAATTCAGTTCTCCAGTGAGTCTAAATGACAGAAGGAATGGACGGATTCCTGAGCCTGCTTATCCTTTGGTTACAACTAAACTGTGAGTTAGAGGGATTTGGAAATGGGCAAAGAATGGGCAACTCCCGGATATTCCTCCCTAGGGAAGACAGAAAGTCAGAGAATTGTACCTGCATGGTTTCTGGAAATTCCTGTGGAGAGCGAAAAAGTAAACTTAGGTTAGTTATCAAAGAATAATCAGCCGCTAGCCGGCCTGTCCCTGTTTCCTCTTCCTGAACAGGGGTGAGCAGTAACCAGGAGGTGAGTCAGAGTCCTGAAGCTCTGAGCGTGAGAGAGGGAGACAGCGTGGATCTCAACCGCAGTTACACCGACAGCGCTCTGTACTTCCTGCAGTGGTTTAGGCAGGATCCCGGGAAAGGGCTCACATCCCTACTGTCAATTCAGGCGAATCAGAAAGAGCAAACAAGTGGAAGAATTACAGTCTCGTTGGATAAACCATCAAGACACAGTGCTTTACACATTGCGACTTCTCAGCACGGTGACTGGACCACCTACCTCTGTGCTGTGAGCCACAGCGCGCAGAGGGAACCTGTTCCCAGGACTCAAACTGCAGGTGGGGCTCCATCTGCATTGGAGGTGGATTCTTTACCAACTGAGCTATCAGGGAAGCCCAGAGCCAACTGGAGAAAGGCAAATGTTCATCCTTAGCCAATCACATAGGATGCCATACTGCTAATTAGCCTGCTGACATTGTCCCTGTTCTTCCCACCCCCCTCCACCTGTCTGTTTTGCTAGAACTTTGTCAGTTTTCCTGATCCTCTTAAAGAACCAACTCTTTGTTTCATTGATTTTCTCTATTGTTTATCTCTTTTAAATTTCATTGATTTCTCCTTTTATCTTTATTAATTTTTTATGCTTGTTTTGGATTAATTTATCTTTTCCTTGTCCAGGTTCTTCAGGTAGAAGCTTAGATAATCTATCTGAGATTTTATTCTTTTTTAATATTTGCATGTAGTGCTAAAATTTCACTCTCAATACTTCTTTGGCTATGTCCCCCCAAATTTGGTATGTTGTATTTTCATTTTTATTCAACTCATGGGAAATTCAATGATTTCCCTTGAGACATTCTCTGTGACCCATAGATGATTCAGAAGTGTGTTGTTTGGTTGCCAAATGTTTGGGAATTTTCCTGTATCTTTCTGTTACTTATTTATACTATTATTTCATTGTGGTTGGAGAACATACTCTTTATATTTCAGTTCTTTTACATTAGATTTGTTGAGTTTTTTTGGTCCCAAGATTTGGACTTACCTGGTATATATTCCACGGACACTTGACAAGAAGTATATTCTGCTCTGGTTGGGTGAAGTGTTGTATAAATGACAATTAAATCCTACTGGTTAGTGGTGTTATTGAATTCTTCTATATATCTGCTGATTTTCTGGCAAGTTATTCTACCAGTTGTTGAGAGAGGAATATTGAAGTATTTAACTATATTTCTAGATTTGTTTCTTTTCTTTTCAGTTCTAATTTTTGTTCCATTTATTTTTCAGCTCTGTTAGTTAGTATATATACATTTAGGATTACTATGTCTTCTCAGTAAATTATCCTTTTCTTCAGTAGATAATATTTCTCTGTCTCTGGTAATTTTCTTTGTTCAGGAGTCTGTCTACTTTATCTGGTATTAATATAGCCATTATACTTTCCTTTGATTAATGTTTGCTTAATACATCTTTTTCCATCTTTTTAGATGAGTTTCAAGGTGACTATGTCTTATTTGAAATGAATTTCTTTCAGAAAGTTATAGTTGGGCCGTGTTTCTTAATACACTTTTTGTCTGAACTGTTTTGACACTGCTATGTTCAGATCAACTTCTGTGTCTTAGTTTTTGCGTGTAGATCACTTGTTTTTAATGTCTTGATATTTTAGGGCTTAGCCTTCCATTTTATTTGATTTTTTGTTTGCACTTTTTTTTTGTCCCCTATGTTTTTCCTTCTAACCTCCTGTGAGTTATTCAACATTTTCTAGGATTACACTTCAATTTATAGTGTTTTGTGTGTGTGTGTGAGTTGCTCAGTTGTGTCTGACTCTTTGTGACCTCAGGGACTGTACCCTACCATGGAATTCTCTAAACAAGAATACTGGAGTGGATAGCCATTCTCTTCTCCAGGGCATCGTGTCAACCCAGGGACTGAACCTGGGTCACCCACATTGTAGGAAGATACTTTTATGGTCTGAGTCACAAGGAAAGCTCCTATAGCATTTCAGTCAGTTCAGTTCAGTTGCTCAGTCGTGTCCAACTCTTTGCGACCCTATGAATCGCAGCACGCCAGGCCTCCCTGTCCATCACCAACTCCTGGAGTTTACTCAAACTCATGTCCATTGAGTCGGTGATGCCATCCAGCCATCTCATCCTCTGTCGTCCCCTTCCCCTCCTACCCCCAGTCCTTCCCAGCATCAGGGTCTTTTCCAATGAGTGAACTCTTCGCATCAGGTGGCCAAAGTATTGGAGTTTCAGCTTCAGCATCAGTCCTTCCAATGAACACCCAGGACTGATCTCCTTTAGGATGGACTGGTTGGATCTCCTTGCAGTCCAAGGGACTCTCAAGAGTCTTCTCCAATGCCACAGCTCAAAAGCATCAATTCTTTGGCACTCAGCTGTCTTCACAGTCCAACTCTCACATCCATACATGGCCACTGGAAAAACTATAGCCTTAACTAGACTGACCTTTGTTGGCAAAGTAATGTCTCTGCTTTTTAATATGCTGTCTAGGTTGGTCATAACTTTCCTTCCAAGGAGTAAGTGTTTTTTAGTTTCATGGCTGCCTATAGCATTTAGATGTGTCTTATTGTATAGCTGTTTTTATACAGCTGCTCTAGTTATTGCATTTACATAACACAGTCTATTGGTAATATTATTTTACCTATTTGAATGAAGTGTATAAATATTGCCTCCCTTTACACCTATTTATTCTCCCCTATTCATAAAATAATTTTCTTTAGTATTTCCTCCATATGTGTTTAGAGTCTCATTAGACAGTGTTATAATTTTTCCACATATATAATTATATTATATTATTATATATTAATATATATAATATTATATATTATTATAATATGCTATATATATTATGCTATATATATAACATATATAATGCTATATAACATATATATATATTATCCTGAATAACATATATATAACATATATGTGCTATATATATAATGTATATATATTGCTATATATAACATATATATATGTTATATATATAACATATATATTGCTATATATATAACATATATAATATGCTCTAATATATTTCCACCAAATATAATTGAGGAAATTCAAGAGGAAATGTCTATTGTATTTATCCATATTTTTGCTTATTGTATTCTTTATTCCTTCTTGTTGATTCAAGACTCATTCCTTCGTAATTTTGTTTCTGTTTATAGAGCTTCCTTTAGACATTATTTTAGGGTAGGTCTTCTGGTGACCACTTTTCTTAGTTTTCCTTCATCTGAGAATGTCTGAATTTCACCTTTATTAGTGAAGGCTTCTCGGTTAATGGCTCTTCTCTTTCTGCAGTTGAAATATATTGGATTATTTCTTTCTGGCTCATAGTTAAATCTGGGAACTAAAATAATTGTAACATTGTGATTTTATGTTTCATTCTAATAATTATTTTGTATCCAACACTTAAAAGTTGAAGGATAGCTGATTGACAATGTTATGCTAATTTCTTCTGTAGAGCAAAGTGATTCAGTTATACATATATAGACTTTCTTTTTTATTTTCCATTATGGTTTACCCCAGATATTGAATATAGTTCCCTGTGCTATACAGTAACACAGGGAATTTTTAACTCACAATTCTGTATTTTTTTAAAAAGTCAAATTTAATACAGTTCAAGGCTGACAACATATAAATCCTCTTCTGTACATAATCATAATGCTTTGAAATTCAACCACAGGTCAGTAGAAAGGTGGGGCATGTTAATGAAAACAGTGAACTTCTCCGTAGTTCTCTATTTGGCCTCTGGACGGCACTGCTGCCTAAACTGGAAATTGGTTTTCTGTAAAAGATCAGAAGAACCTCACAAAAACCCTATGGTTTAAAGAGATATTCTGACCATTTTTTACACAGTGAGATGTAAAGCATCTCAGACACCAGAGACAGGCATTTGTTAAGACAGCTTCTCTTCCTAACAACCTCCCTACAACCTCCATCAGAAGACGTATAAATTCTTTGTCATTCTTAATTTCAGAGAAACCTGGGTTCAAGTCAGCCAGTCTTCAGACTTCTTTGTGGGGAACCTGTTAGAAAGGAGCTCACTGCCTCTTCACTGCTCCACTATGACCTTGGTGTTCACCTTGATGCTTGAGATGCTCCTGTTTCTGAGTGAGTATTGCTCCATTTCACTCCTTTGCTCTGTGTTGAATAGAGACTTTTTGTTTTAGCTGAGTTCACTGATTCAGCACTGATGTTTCAGCAGGAGCTGGAGCCCAGTCAGTGACCCAGCCTGATGACCACATCACTGTCTCTGAAGGAGCCCGTCTGGAGCTGAAGTGCAACTACTCATCTTCTGTTTCACCATACCTCTTCTGGTCCGTGCAGTACCCGGACCAAGGACTCCAGCTTCTCCTGAAGTACGTGTCTGGAGACAATCTTGTTTCAGGCATCAAAGGTTTTGAGGCTGAATTTAGGAGGAATGAGAAGTCCTTCCACCTGAGGAAAATACCAGCTCATTGGAAAGACTCGGCCAAGTACTTCTGTGCTCTGAGTGACACAGTGCCTGGGGCTGCAGGAGGAGCTGAACACAAACCTCCTGGACACTGTAGCTCAGTCTTTGTTATATTAGGAGGTTGGCATGTTCTGTGAAGGCAAACAGTACAGACAATACAGAATCCTGGAAGTGTTTGGTTCCCATGGGCATCTTAGATTCTTCTTTTTTTCATTTTTTCTTGTCTTTTCTATTCTTTTTTCTTTATCATTTTGCAAAGGAAAGACTCCTGTTTTCTGAATTTTGGAATTTTTGTCCTCTAGATTCAGAATTCCAGGGAAAATGAGGCCATAGAATTTTCAACAAACTGGAGAAAGCTACTTACTGCCGAGTCATTTGGAATAGTGATGGGCTGAGATATAATAGCTTGAGGTTGGCCATATGAGTTGATATAACACAAGTCAGACAATTTCTTTACAATATTAATCTCATCTCTCAAGTAACAAAAAACCCTGGACAATGGCTTATTTCTAACTGCATTATCTTCAGACTATTTTGCTAGTATCCTAAGAGGCTTCTTCCCTTAAAGGATTTCAACTCTTTGACTGAAGCATTTGGGACTGATGCAGCTAATTACTGCTAGCACTTAAAGATGTATATGGGTGACCTTTCCAAAGACAATATTTCAGTTTCAGTTCAGTTGATCAGTCATGTCCAACTCTTTGCGACCCAATGAACCGCAGCACGCCAGGCCTCCCTTGTCCATCACCAATTCCCGGAGTCCACCCAAACCCATGTCCATCGAGTCGATGATGCCATCCAACCATCTCATCCTCTGTCTTCCCCTCTCCTCCTGCCCTCAATCATTCCCAGCATCAGAGTCTTTTCCATGAGTCAGCTCTTTGCATCAGGTGGCCAAAGTATTAGAGTTTCAGCTTCAACACCAGTCCTTCCAATGAACACCCAGGACTGATCTCCTCTAGGATGGACTGTTTGGATCTCCTTGCAGTCCAAGGGACTCTCAAGAGTCTTCTCCACAGCACAGTTCAAAAACATCAATTCTTTTTTTTTTTTCCATTTATTTTTATTAGTTGGAGGCTAATTACTTTACAACATTGCAGTGGTTTTTGTCATATATTGAAATGAATTAGCCATGGATTTACATGTATTCCCCATCCCGGTCCCCCCTCCCACCTCCCTCTCCGCCCTATCCCTCTGGGTCTTCCCAGTGCACCAGGCCCAAGCACTTGTCTCATGCATCCAACCTGGGCTGGTGATCTGTTTCACCCTAGATATACAAGTTTCAATGCTGTTCTCTTGAAACATCCCACCCTCGCCTTCTCCCACAGAGTCCACAAGTCTGTTCTATACATCTGAGTCTCTCTTTCTTTTTTGCATATAGGGTTATCGTTACCATCTTTCTAAATTCCATATATATGTGTTAGTATACTGTAATGGTCTTTATCTTTCTGGCTTACTTCGCTCTGTATAATGGGCTCCAGTTTCATCCATCTCATTAGAACTGATACAAATGAATTCTTTTTAATGGCTGAGTAATATTCCATGGTGTATATGTAGCACAGCTTCCTCATCCATTCGTCTGCTGATGGGCATCTAGGTTGCTTCCATGTCCTGCCTATTATAAACAGTGCTGTGATGAACATTGGGATGCACGTGTCTCTTTCAGATCTGGTTTCCTCAGTGTGTATGCCTAGAAGTGGGATTGCTGGGTCATATGGCAGTTCTATTTCCAGCTTTTTAAGGAATCTCCACACTGTTTTCCATAGTGGCTGTACTAGTTTGCATTCCCACCAACAGTGTAAGAGGGTTCCCTTTTCTCCACACTCTCTCCAGCATTTATTGCTTGTAGACTTTTGGATAGCAGCCATCCTGACTGGTGTGTATTGGTACCTCATTGTGGATTTGATTTGCATTTCTCTAATAATGAGTGATGTTGAGCATCTTTTCATGTGTTTTTTTGCCATCCGTATGTCTTCCTTGGAGAAATGTCTGTTTAGTTCTTTGGCCCATTTTTTGATTGGGTCATTTATTTTTCTGGAATTGAGCTGCAGGAGTTGCTTGTATATTTTTGAGATTAATCCTTTGTCTGTTGCTTCATTTGCTATTATTTTCTCCCAATTTGAGGGCTGTCTTTTCACCTTGCTTATAGTTTCCTTTGTTGTGCAAAAGCTTTTAAGTTTCATTAGGTCCCAGTTGTTTATTTTTGCTTTTGTTTCTAAAATTCTGGGATGTGGGTCATAGAGGATCCTGCTGTGATTTATGTCGGAGAGTGTTTTGCCTATGTTCTCCTGTAGGAGTTTTATAGTTTCTGGTCTTACATTTAGATCTTTAATCCATTTTGAGTTTATTTTTGTGTATGGTGTTAGAAAGTGTTCTAGTTTCATTCTTTTATAGGTAGTTGACCAGTTTTCCCAGCACCACTTGTTAAAGAGGTTGTCTTTTTTCCATTGTATATCCTTGCCTCCTTTGTCGAAGATAAGGTGACCATAGGTTCGTGGATTTATCTCTGGGCTTTCTATTCTGTTCCATTGATCTATATGTCTGTCTTTGTGCCAGTACCATACTGTCTTGATGACTGTGGCTTTGTAGTATAATCTGAAGTCAGGCAGGTTGATTCCTCCAGTTCCATTCTTCTTTCTCAAGATTACTTTGGCTATTCGAGGTTTTTTGTATTCCCATACAAATTGTGAAATTATTTGTTCTAGTTCTGTGAAAAATACTGTTGGTAATTTGATAGGGATTGCATTGAATCTATAGATTGCAAAAGCATCAATTCTTCGACACTCAGCTTTCTTGATAGTCCAACTCTCACATCCATACATGACCACTGGAAAGACCATAGTCTTGACTAGACAGACCTTTGTTGGCAAAGTAATGTCTCTGCTTTTTAATATGCTGTCTAGGTTGGTCATAACTTTCCTTCCAAGGAGTAAGCATCTTTTAATTTCATGGCTGCAATCACCATCTGCAGTGATTTTGGAGCCCAGAAAAATAAAGTCAGACACTGTTTCCACTATTTCCCCATCTATTTGCCATGAAGTGATGGGACCGGATGCCATGATCTTAGTTTTCTGAATGTTGAGCTTTAAGCCAACTTTTTCACTCTCATCTTTCACTTTCATCAAGAGGCTCTTTAGTTTTTGTTCACTTTCTGCCATAAGGGTGGTGTCATCTGCATATCTGAGGTTATTGATATTTCTCCCAGCAATCTTGATTCCAGCTTTTGCTTCTTCCAGCCCAGCGTTTCTCATGATGTACTCTGCATATATGTTAAATAAGCAGGGTGACAATATACAGCCTTGATGTACTCTTCCTTTTTGGAACCAGTCTGTTGCTCCATGTCTAGTTCTAACTGTTGCTTCCTGACCTGCATACAGGTTTCTCAAGAGACAGGTCATGTGGTCTGGTATGCTCATCTCTTTCAGAATTTTCCACAGTTTATTGTGATACACACAGTCAAAGGCTTTGGCATAATCAATAAGGCAGAAATAGATGTTTTTCTGGAACTCTCTTGTTTTTTCAATGATCCAGAGGATGTTGGCAATTTAATTTCTGGTTCCTCTGCCTTTTCTAAAACCAGATTGAACATCTGGAAGTTCACGGTTCACGTATTTTTGAAGCCTGGCTTGGAGAATTTTGAGCATTACTTTACTAGTGTGTGAGATCAGTGCAATTGTAGTGTGAAGCAAAAAAAGTTCTCCTTTATTCATCAGTCCCCAGAAATAGACTTCCCAGGTGGTGCAGTGGTAAAGAATCTGCCTGCCAATGCAAGAGACACTAGGGCATCCTCCCTAATGAGGAGGAAGATGAGGAGTACAGTGAAGAGGTGGTTAAGTCATCTTTATGGGGCAATTCTTCTGAGTCTGTGTTTATCTTTGGCCAGATATCTCTCTCCTTTTCCCACATCAGACCTGTTTTAGGACATTCCTGAAAGATGCATGTGCATTTTTGCCAAGATGGATTCCAGCACAGAGCTTTGTGGGATGCTTGGCGTCATCTGTTATGAGGCAGTGCCACCTCCTTTTTGAGCTCCGAGGAGGCTTTCTGTGTCTGCACAGTTTTCCTTGACCTCTTGACCTCAGAAGTGGTCACTTTTTTACTCTAGCAAAGCTCAGCTCCTGATGTTAATTGTCTTGGTTACTGAGGCTAATTAGCATGACAGGTTAATGAATCTGAGAGGTGTTGGGCCAAAGACTTTATTTGGAAAGCTGACTGACCAAGAAGATGGCAGACTAATGTCTCAAAATGATCATCTTGTCTGGGTCTGGATGGCAGGTTCTTTCACAGAACAGGGTGGGGGAAGGTGAGGAAACAAATTAAAAAGGCAAAATTAATCTTGTAAACATCTGTTAGAATGGCAAGCCTCAGGCAGGGGATGTATTAATTTCTTCTTTCCCACCATCCACAGGTGGACAGGTCATGAACAAAAACCCTTTAGCAGTCAGGCAGAGGGGCTGATTCTCTGAGGCAGCCCATTATGTATGATTATAATAACAAAAGCAATGAAAAACAAGTCAAAGGAACAGTTTCAACAGGTAGAATTGGTTCTTTCCTCAGTATTTGGAGTGTGTAGGCAAAACAAAGCTTGAATTTTACTCTGCTTGACAAATACCAGCTGTCTAGCCCAGGGGCCCATCTACCTCCTACCTCTGAAACTCACTCTGAGTTTTCATGTGCTCAGTTGCTCAGTCGGGTCTTACTCTTTGCCATCCCGTGGACTATAGCCCACCAGGCTCCCCTGGCCATGGGATTTTCCAAGCAAGAATACTGGAGCTGGTTGCCGTTTCCTTCTCCAGGGGAGCTTCCTGACCTAGAGATAGAACTCCCATCTCTTTCGTCCCCTGCATTGGCAAGTATATTCTTTACCGCTCCATTACCTGGAAAACTCTTTCAAATGGAGGTTAGTAATAATAGAGGAGAATAATTTTGTGTGAAGAAAAGCTAAACCATTATCGGCATATAAGAAATATGCTTTTTGATGAATATTCCTCTCAATTAATAGCTCTGTCTTATTCCCTGATTCAAGCACTAGACATTTATGACCATAATGTAAAATATCTATATTTACATTGATTGTTATTATCTTTATCTACATCGTTATCTTTATCCATAGCTCTCAGGAAAGTCCCCTGGATCA